CTATGCACATGATGTGACCAGATCATGCAGAAAGTATTCCTCTTAGTAGGAACTCTTTGTTTTTAATGCTTGGTATGGTCAGAGTTTAATATTTCTGCAACTATTTAAAAGATCCATAGAACTCTTATGACTATAGCTTCAGTTTCTTCTGATGTGTAACTTGTTACCATCCTGCTACAAATACCTTAAGGCTTTTAAAAGAGGTAGTGGAGGTTTCTGCAGCAGGATAACATGTCTTAACTTGTAGTTGGGGTTTACCTGTGCTATGCTGGTCACTAGATTACTGAGATTTGTACTGGGGTAGTAAGCTTTAAAGACGGCTTCTTGGGTGAAAATTTACCTAGGAATGCTTCCATCTGAAGGGACAAATTGCTAAATTCCAAACTGGATGGAGCATACGTGCTGCTACAAAGCTACTAAATCAACCACTTAGATCCTTGTATGTTTGTTTTTTCTTGGTCTAAAGCAGTGGGGAATCTTGTAAAAGATGCACCTTGTTCTGCATTTTACCATGGCCTTTTCTGTTCAGAGACTTCTAAACTGTATTGACAGCATGCCTTTACTTTGTAAATGTGGTGCCAAATTCCTGTTTGCCATTTGTTTTTACTGTAGTAATATTCTTAACGAGTCAGTGCATTCCTTTGCTGAAACCATTGCATTATGAGACTTTTCCCAATTTGTCATGTGTACAGTTTCAACCTGTTATAGTTGTTGGCAGTATTAAAATGGTGAGTAAACAGTTTAGCCTTTTTCTCTAGTTTATTCCAACTATTTCTGGAAATGTGCTCCCATATTATGTGCTCTGTCCACATCGGTCTGTTTGCAAAAATGAGATGCGCAGCTAGTAGCGAATAAGATGGGACTAAGCAGAGAGCTACTAACTTTTGATTACAGGACCTCTAGACCTACTGGTGTCTTGTACAGTGCTGTCTTCTGCTGCCAGTGGCTTGGATAGAGATCAGCAGACATCCTATGTCGCTCATCACATCTACATCACATCTGATGGCAAGTCTCTTGCTAGAGTCTAGTTCCTCACTTGAATGCAATGGAAAAAATAATGTCCAAAGCCAGTCTGTTACAATAGGTGGATACGTGTCAGCTTGAAGAATGTTTGCCTGGAAGTACAGCACCACTACCCTGCTAGCACTTCAAACTCCAGGGGAAGAACCTCAGCTGGTCCAAGTGGTCATTACCCCATACTCTGTGCCTTGCATAACATTCCTAACAAGTGGCAGCATTCAGTAGTTGTAAACGACTCGTTTTAATCTGGAAATCCCCTTTAACTGTCAGTGTATATCTTGCACTTTCCTTTTAACCAAACCTTGTAGGATTCATTACAGCGTCACAGTGATGCCAGGAGTAGCTCACTCCGTTCTTAAAGCACACGTGCATGCCGACCCCTCCAGTAACATCGTATGCCAACATTGTGTCACCTGAAGGAACTGTTGAAGCTGGAGTTAGGGCCTGATCCTGCAAGGGGCTGTGCCTATAAATACTTATTTCTTCTTTCAGTGAGACCAAGGGTGCTCAGCACTTTGCAGCCTCAGACTATTAAAGGTGAAGTGAGGTCGGGGGGAACTTGACTGCAAATGGCACCCACGCAACCAGCCAAGGCAGCACTGACTGGAAGTTCCACAGCATGGCCAGACTAGTCACTTGGCTTGACTCTGTGGCCACTGTGCACATGGAGCTCTTGTTGGCTGCAGTGGGAGGTCTGGGTGTGCAGCTGCTACAGGACAAGGGCCAGTATGGCTGCTGCTTCTGAGCTCTACTGTGGTTCATGTTTTCAGAATCAAGAACTTATGCTTTGAGGAATCATCATTTTAAAACCAGCTAGCCCAGAACAAATGACAGCCAGCCATTCCATGCACATTTCTTTATTTTGGTTTTACTACAATTTAGTTGAAGCCATATACGTGATTCTCTGCAGTACACAGTGAGAAGATACAAGAAACCTTCTTGTCTACAGTAATAGCATAGACTTATTTACAAATGAGAGCAGATACAGCTCTAAATAGCAGAATGAGAATCTTTTCAAGTAACCATTTCCTCTTCGTATCTGACCTGTTCTCCCCCCCTTCTAGATGTGAAATGTTTGCCAAACTCTAATAAATTCAACGCTGTCTCTCACTGTCCTGTGATCTTCTACAGTACTCATCAATGAGACAGCATGTGCAAAAGTCGCAGCAGCCGCAGGTACCCAGTGAGCTGGGATCAGTTCTGCTACACTGTATGGATAGAGAGAGAACAGGTCTAGACTCATAAGCCTTCCAGGCTATCTAATACAGAGAGAAAGTTGGATACCAGAAATAGTCAATCGGCTACTTAAGGCTGGTGGGGACAAATTGCACCAGTTGCAGGGAACTGCAAATGTTAATTTTTCCAGTGGAAGATTTGAAAATTTCACAATTCTTGGGGGCTTATTTACAACTGGTAAACTGGTTAGTTTCTAAAACAAGGAAAGAGGGATTAGATACGTTTGAGTTAAAATTAAATCTGTTCCATTGTCCACTTTCAGCAATACCTTTCAGTTCACACCACTTATGGAATTTTTTTGATTTCCACAAAATATAATTATGGGGTGGTTTTCTCTAGGATTCCACAAAACATTGCTTTCACCTTTTCCATATAGGTTTGTAATACATTTTGAACATGCAGCTGTGCAGAGATGTGAAACTTCAGTATCAGTTATCCATTTGGTGTCCTGATGACTACTTGCTCTTTGGGTTCAGATCACATTGGATCTCTTGTAAGCAGCAGTTTTAAAGCGCACACAGACTGCAGAGAAACTATTTTATTAAAAATGAGGAAATTACCCTGGAAGACAGCTGGGCTGCAGTAAGTTTAGCCTCGCTGGATGGCTTGTTCTTGGAGGTGTGCAGCCGTGTGCTGGGCAGGTGTTAGAGTGTGGACTCGGAGTAATTTTTGCTTAGTCCTCTGGCTCTGCTCTGCAGAACAGTGATGCTAAGTGGAAGTCATTTTCTTTTCTTGAGGGAGGTGTCAAGGGAGAGAAAAGGAAGATAAATACTTTTACAACTTTAAAATTAGGAAGCCATTTTAAGCGAATTAAAATGCAATGCATAAATCCATTGCATAAATACCTGCAGAATATCAATATTGAGGGCCAGGTTCTGATTTATGCGAACACCAGAGCTGTATAAACATGCCTTGATCTAAATGAGAATCTGACTCAGACAGTAGCAAACAAAGTCTGAAAATACAATGGTGGTAGTAAAGTTTACAACAATTATTCTCCATGTAATCAACTGCTACTAGAAGAGCTGCGTTCATTGGTGTTTGTAACCCCAATACAGTACTAAAACCCTCCAAGCTACTGTCATGACACAATATCATCCTTTATGCTTAAAGTGGGCGTTCCTGCATGTGTGCTCTGATTGGAAAGTTGTTTTGTTTTGCAGCGAACAATGCAGAGGTGAAATCAAAGTGGTTTTTGTCCCTCTGCCCTTCTGCAAGCTACTTTGTGCCTGCAGAGAAGCTGGCTGGCTGCCTTTAATTTCCCTGCTTTCCTATGCATGTGCATGGAGAGTGAAAGCTCCAAGATTGTTTCCTGGGGAGCAAAATGAGCAAACCGTTGGAGGATGCTGGCTGGATGTTTTGAAGGTAGGGGGTGGGCAGAGAATGCTTCAGAGATTTTCTGGGCAGTTGGTACAAGCGTACATCCTCATAAACTGAAAATAACATTCATGTTTGTTAAAAACAGCATGGTGGCTATAGCGAAAAGGCTGTGTAAAGCTGAACACTGCGCATAACTCATTTCCTGGGCCCTGCCCACACTAGCATGCTACTCATGCTAGGTTCTGTTTAAGCTCTAGTGCGAGCAGGATTCGGGACCAGTTTTCCTGAGCAGTGATAACTTATGGACCAGGTTATAAGACTGCCTCAGACTAGCAAGGATACTGTGTAGTGACAGTGTAATGCCCTGATCTTGCCTGACTCGCAGGGCCAGGCCTGTATTACAATAGGCACCATATCTCCATGGACAAGGCTGAACAATTTTGTAATACAGTACCTTAAAATGATACTTTACTACCCAAATGGACCCTCTAACCCACTTTGGCATACCAGATTCAGCTAAAAACCCCTTCTACATGCTGAGTAGGGAAATCAACCACTGCTGGGGCTAGCAGGGTTTAAGTCGTTTGTTTCATGGGTTCTTCAAGAGGGTGGCTAGTGCTCGCAATCACCCTGCCATTCCCATACTATGAAGGAGGAGGAGGATACTGCCAAGACGGGGGAGGGGAAAAGGTTGAGAACCAGTGGTTTAGTGGTAATACAACTGCTTAAAAGGGCAAAAAGTGCACCGAGCACTCTGGAAAATCTGCTCCATCAGTAGGGCCCTACCAAATTCACGGTCCATTTTGGTCAATTTCACGGTCATAGGATTTTAAAAATAATTTTCAGTTTCAGATATTTAAATCTGAAATTTCACAGTATTGTAACTGGGGGGTCCTGACCCAAAACGGGGTCGTGGGGGGGGGGGCGTTGTCACACGGCTACTGTAGGGGGGGTCACGGTATTGACACCCTTACTTCTGTGCTGCTGCCTCCAGAGCTGGGCAGCCAGAGGGCAGCTGCTAGTCAGGCGCCCAGCTCTGAAGGCAGCGCCGCTGCCAGCAGCAGCACAGAAGTAAGGGTGGCAATGCCATATCATGACACTGTCACTTCTGCACTGCTGGTGGTGGCAGCTCTGCCTTCAAAGCTGGGCTCTTGGCCAGCAGCCGCTGCTTTCCAGCCACTCTGCGCTGTGAAATCTGGTCCCCTCTACAATAGCCAGATTCCACAGGGGAGATCTGATTTCACGGTTCGTGACATGTTTTTCACAGCTGTGAATTTGGTAGGGCCTGAACTATCGGTGAGGAGTCAGACCAGTTGTCTCCTATCCCTCACAATGCCAGTTTGGTAGTAAAGTGGCTAAATTGTGACTTACAATAGGCGTTTAGTTCTCTGCTTGAAGTTACAGTACCTGCAAAAGTTGGAGTTCTAGAAGAGACCACAGTCCTTGAGGTTCTCTTTGATGATGACATCCGTGACTGCGTCGAACACAAATTTAACGTTCTGTGTGTCTGTGGCACAGGTCATATGACTGTAGATTTCTTTCACATCTTTTCGCATGTTGAGATCAAGGAACTGATTCTTGATGTAATTTCCTGCATCTTCAAATGTATTGGGACCTATTTGGGGGAAGGAAATAACTCTGCTGCTAAGTGTTGCTGATTAGGAAGACTGCACTAATTAGAAACTCCTCAAAGCCCATTGTGATTAGGCTGGATCTGTGGCCAGAGGAAATGTGATCCTTTGCCATGTTTTGAGAGAATTAAATGCACGTTAAAGAACAGGACTGGAGTGACAGCCCTGGGCAGTGACATGTGCTTTCTACACAAAAGCTGAAGAGCAAGCAGACATTTTCTTGGGGTGGTTCAGCCTTGAGTCATAACCTCTTTATTCCTACCAAATCATCCCAAGGTGGTAATGCTTAATACAGATCCTCTCCTTTTCCTAGCTGCAGAAGCCTAGCTTGAGCCTAATGACTTTTCCCAAGAGAACCATTTTCTATCCCTTTGTGGCTTTTGTGCCACTCACTTCTTCCCACCCATTACTCTGGTTTGATTTTGTTTGTTTTTAGACTTGGGTGAGGATAATTTGGGCCTAAACACTAGCACAATCCGGGGAGGTAAAGTTTTTAGACCAACTCACCATCGTAATCTGGGAAGCAAATGCTGAGGTGGACTTTCTTGATCTTTTCCTCAAAGAGGTCCTTCTTGTTGAGGAACAGAATAATGGAGGTGGCAGCAAAGAACTTGTGGTTGCATATACTGTTGAACAGATGCAGGGACTCATGCATGCGGTTCTGAAGACAAAAAGACCACATCACTTGTAAAGAAATTTCAGAGGTGGGTGTGTTGTAAAGACCCTGCTCGTTCTGGTTTCAGAAAGTAGGGGTGGGCAGGTCCTTGCTTGGTCTAACACATACTGAAAGCTCTCCCCCACTCAAGTTTCTGTGGCTTGTTAACATGTGCAAGTCCCGACTCCTACTCAAGCTTGTTCCTCAAACAGGCTGAAGCTCTACACCAGCCATTGCCTGAGCTGCTGCTAATTGTACTTGCTTTTTGATCTCCACAGTTTTTGCAGCTGTAAAGGTGAGGGCAGCACTTTCTGCTGTTACAATGGTGAAGCCTTTGCTGGTCATAAAGCCGTGATGTTTCCTGTTTGTCATAGCCCAGGTAAGGACTCTATGGTTGGCCAGAAGCTTTAGACCAACTGGATTTTAAACAAAGCAAATCGGCATCCTTCCATGATGGCTTTTTTGCAGTTTCAACAGGGCTCCAATTTTCAGATGATGCCATGACTGAAAAAGTACCAGGGGAACAAATTCATTCGACTGTAAGCTCGTTCGAGCAGAAACTGTTCTGTGCCAAGCACAGTGGGGCCCAGGTCCATCACAAGGCCTTCCAGCTGCTACCGTAATACCACTAATAAATCTCTCTTGAGACACAAGAAAGCATTAAGGAGAGATTTACTGTTGCTGAACTTAAAGTACTCCCAGCAGCGAGGGGGGAAAGTACAGATACAGCAGCTGGAAACCAGCAGCCAAACCAACTGCATTTCAGCAAGTTGATTTACCTTTTGTCTTTTGCAAACTCTCCTGTTCTTTTGCTGTAACAAGCACACATGTTGCCAAAGAGAAGGTTGTGGGTGGTTTCTATGGCCAACAATAAGGAAGTCTTGAACTGCTTGGTTAGAGTTGTTGGAGGATTCTTTTTGCCTTGAGAATAAGACGGTTACTCACCGTTGTAACTGTTGTTCTTCGAGATGTGTTGCTCATATCCATTCCAGTTAGGTGTGCGCGCGCCGCGTGCACGATCGTCGGAAGATTTTACCCTAGCAACCCCCGGTGGGTCGGCTGTGGAGCCCCCTGGAGTGGCGCCTTCATGGCGCTGGATATATACCCCAGCCGACCCAGCGCCCCCTCAGTTCCTTCTTGCCGGCTACTCCGACAGTGGGGAAGGGGGGCGGGTTTGGAATGGATATGAGCAACACATCTCGAAGAACAATAGTTACAACGGTGAGTAACTGTCTTTTCTTCTTCGAGTGCTTGCTCATATCCATTCCAGTTAGGTGACTCCCAAGCCCCACCTAGGTGGCGGGGTCGGAGTGAGACATTGCTGTGTGCAGAACCGCTGACCCGAAAGCAGCATAGTCTCTGGATTGTTGCACCAGCGCATAGTGAGTAGCGAATGTGTGGACCGATGACCACACTGCGGCTCTACAGATATCGTGGATCGGGACTTGAGCCAGGAAGGCAGTCGAGGAGGCCTGGGCCCTCGTGGAATGAGCGGTGATGCGTGGCATCGGTACACCAGCCAGGTCGTAGCAAGCACGAATACAGGACGTGATCCAAGAGGACAGGCACTGTGAAGAGACCGGTGAGCCCTTCATCCGGTCGGCCACCGCAACGAAGAGTTGCGTCGTTTTCCTAAATGGCTTTGTACGATCAATATAGAAAGCCAGGGCCCTGCGAACGTCCAAAGAATGTAAACGCTGGTCTTGACGAGTAGCGTGTGGTTTCGGATGGAAGACCGGGAGAAATATATCCTGGTTGACGTGGAAAGGTGAAACCACTTTTGGAAGAAAGGCAGGGTGGGGGCGAAGCTGTACCTTGTCCTTGTGGAACACCGTGTATGGGGGCTCGGATGTCAGCGCCCTGAGTTCCGAGACGCGCCGTGCTGAGGTGATGGCTACGAGGAAGGCTGTCTTCCAGGACAAGTACAGGAGTGAGCAGGTCGCCAAAGGTTCAAACGGAGGCCCTGTGAGCCTGGAGAGGACGAGGTTGAGGTCCCACGTCGGGACCGGCTGCCGTTGCTGTGGGTACAGCCGGTCTAAGCCCTTGAGGAATCTAACGACCAGCGGGTTAGAAAAGACCGAGGACGTGAGTTCTCCTGGGTGGAAAGCGGAAATAGCGGCGAGGTGAACCTTGATTGAGGATGTCGCCAAGCCTTGATGTCTTAGGGACAGGAGGTATTCCAGTATCAAGGGGATAGGTGCCAGCGAGGGAGACGTAGCTCATTGCTCACACCAACAGGAGAACCGCTTCCACTTGGCCAGATAAGTGGTCCGTGTAGAGGGTTTCCTACTTCCCAGCAGAACCTGCTGGACGGCCTGCGAGCATTGACGCTCTGTCCGACTCAACCATGGAGCATCCACGCCGTGAGGTGGAGAGACTGTAGGTTGGGGTGACACAACCGGCCGTGGTCCTGGGAGATGAGGTCCCGGCTCAAGGGGAGTGTGATCGGCGTTCGTACTGAAAGCTCCAGCAGTGTGGTGTACCAGTGCTGCCTCGGCCAAGCGGGGGCGACTAGAATCACCCGTGCATGATCCCTGCGGATCTTGAGCAGTACCCTGTGGACCAGCGGAAATGGAGGGAAGGCGTAGAACAGGTGATCCTTCCATGTTAGAAGGAAGGCGTCTGACCGGGAGCCCGGGGCTCGCCCGTGCAGGGAGCAGAATGCCTGGCACTTCCTGTTGGCCCGAGATGCGAAGAGGTCGACCTGGGGAAATCCCCACCTCTGGAAGACGGAATAGATGACGTCCGGGCGAATTGACCACTCGTGCGTCTGGAAGGACCTGCTGAGACGGTCCGCCAGCGTATTCTGGACTCCAGGAAGGAAGGATGCCGTGAGATGTATCGAGTGGGCGATGCAGAAGTCCCACAGGCGAATGGCCTCTTGGCATAGGAGCGATGAGTGGGCTCCGCCTTGCTTGTTGATGTAAAACATTGCCGTGGTGTTGTTGGTGAGAACCAACACGCAACGGCCCTGTAGGAAATTGAGGAATGCCTGGCAAGCTAGGCGCACCGCCATCAGCTCTCGGACGTTGATATGTAGGGCTAGTTGGGCCACGGACCACAGGCCCTGGGTATGGTGCTCCCCGAGGTGAGCGCCCCATCCTAGAGATGAAGCGTCCGTGACTAGGTGGAGGGAGGGCTGTGGGGCATGGAAGGGCACTCCCGCACAGACCGTCGTGCGATCCATCCACCAGGTGAGGGAGGCCAAGACCGAGGCCGGAACCATGACCACCATGTTCAGGTCGTCTCGGTGAGGACGGTATACCGATGACACCCAAGCCTGCAGCGGGCGAAGTCGTAGCCTGGCGTGCCTGGTTACATAGGTGCACGAGGCCATGTGGCCCAAGAGGGCAAGGCATGTTCTTATGGTGGTAATTGGAAAAGCCCTGAGTCCTTGAATGGCGCTTGAGATGGTATGAAAGCGGCTGTCTGGCAGGATGGCTCAGGCACGTCTGGAGTCCAGGACTGCTCCAATGAACTCTATTCTCTGAGTTGGTGCTAGAGTGGACTTCTCTCTGTTGAGCAGAATGCCCAGCTCGTGGAAAGTATGTGTCACTATGTGGACATGAGCCTGAACTTGGTCCCTGGTGCGGCCGCGTACCAACCAGTCGTCCAAGTACGGGAACAGTTGTATCCCTTGTCGACGAAGGAAGGCCGCGACGACTGCCAGACACTTTGTGAACACCCTGGGAGCCGAGGACAAGCCGAAGGGAAGGACTGCGAATTGGTAGTGCACCCTGTTTACCACAAATCGCAGGAAACGTCTGTGGGGCGGATAAATTGCTATGTGGAAATAAGCGTCCTTCATGTCGAGGGCGGCGAACCAGTCTCCAGGATCCAGTGAAGGGATGATGGTCCCCAATGACACCATGCGGAACTTCAACTTTACTATGAATTTGTTGAGTCCGCGCAAGTCTAAGATGGGCCGTAGACCCCCTTTTGACTTGGGTATCAGGAAGTAGCGGGAGTAAAACCCCCTGCCCCTTAGCTCCGATGGAACCTCCTCTATGGCCCCCATAGCGAGGAGCCCAAAAACCTCCTGTGTAAGGAGTTGCTCGTGAGAAGGGTCCCTGAAGAGGGACGGGGAGGGGGAGTGGGAGGGGGGGGCGAGGAAAACTGGAGGGCGTATCCCCTCTCCACCGTGCGAAGGACCCAACGGTCCGAGGTTATACGGAACCAAGCACGGTGGAAACGGGAGAGGCGATCCCGGAAGGGGGGAATTGGATCCTGGGTACCGGTCGTGGTGCCGTCCTCGACCGCACCTTCAAAAGGCTTGCCTAGGCCCTGAAGGTGGCCTAGGCTGGCCCTGGTTCTGACCAGGTTGAGGGCCGTTCGACCTCCGCCTGCCGCCTCGACCCCGCCTCCTGGCAAAGTCCTGTCTTGGACGAGGCGGGGGAGGGTAGAATCTCTGCGGCTGCAGTCTGAAGGGTCTGCGCTGAGGCCCCGGGACATGCATCCCCAGGGAGCGCATCATTGTACGTGAGTCCTTCAGATTCTGGAGTCTCGCATCAGTTTTGTCCGAAAAGAGACCCTGGCCCTCGAATGGCAGATCTTGCAGGGTCTGCTGCAGCTCTGGTGGCAAGCCTGACACCTGTAGCCAGGAGAGTCGCCGCATGGCTATCCCCGAAGCCAGGGTCCTAGCGGCCGAGTCCGCAATATCGAGGGAGGCTTGCAAGGAGGTACGTGCCACCCGCATACCCTCCTCTACCAAAGCCCCAAACTCTTCCCTCGATTCCTGGGGAACCAGCTCCTTGAATTTCCCCATTGAGGACCATGAGTTAAAACTGTAACGGCTCAAGAGCGCCTGCTGATTGGCCGCTCGGAGCTGGAGCCCCCCCGCAGAGTAAACCTTGCGTCCGAACAAATCGAAGCGCTTAGCGTCCTTCGATTTGGGCGCAGCGGCCTGCTGTCCATGGCGCTCCCGTGCATTAACCGATGAGACCACCAGTGAGCACGGCTGGGGATGGGTGTATAAGTACTCATGATCCTTCGAAGGCACAAAGTAC